ATATATGTATAAAGGTAATGAACAGAGACTTTATTATCTTTTTCTATCACAGGAATCGAGCCCGCTGGCCAGCACTGAATGAAGGAGCCTAGACCTGGTGATAAAGTAGGAAATGCCCAGCTCCACTGTAATGGCAATTGGAGCTCTCTCCAGTTCTCTTATTGTAACTTGTTGCTTAATGGTTGCCCTGTGCAACCCAACTATATATGTACAAAACATTACACAAACGGATCAGCAGCAAATGAAAAACAGCCAAGACAAAAAGGAGCACGTGGTTCATGGCAGTCAAAACCAAACACATCCGGGTAAATTAAATGAAAGCAAAATAGTGAAAGAAGAAACAATGAAAGAGTGGAAAAATAAAATTAACAAAACTATTATAGGCAAGGATGTTTTAAGTAGACAAAAACAGACTCTGAATACGCAGACGTTGGGTAGTAAATTAGTTAATACAATACAAATACAATCAGATGCTGTGCAAGATCAGCCTGTGGAGGATTTATCAATTTTGGATCCTGTCAGTACACCTGAAGCTCCAGAGGAATATGCCTATCCAGACTATCGGGGTAAAGGCTGTGTGGATGAGAGTGGATTTGTGTATGCTATTGGGGAAAAATTTACACCTGGCCCTTCAGCTTGTCCATGTCATTGTACAGAGGAGGGACCACTTTGCATTCAACCAGAGTGCCCTAGGCTGCACCCACGCTGTATTCAAGTTGACAACAGCCAGTGCTGCCCACAGTGCAAAGAAAAGAAGAATTACTGTGAATTTCGAGGAAAAACATATCAGTCCTTGGAAGAATTTATGGTGAGTACTATTATTATCAATGAAAATTACATTTACCTGTTTAGTTATTATATATTTGACATCTATAATAAACATTTTGTGCTAAAAATATATTGAGACAACACATAAACATATGGTGAAAATGTATGAGTAATATAATAGAATACTTCAACCAAATGATTCATTTTTCACCAACTTGCTTGGATTTGTGGAATGCAATGTTAAAGTATCATTAATGTATTGAAATGCAAATTTTCTAAAAGTTCCATAAAACTAAAATATGTAGTGATATTTATATTTGCTAAAATGTGTATGTAACTAATGGAAAATACATATTTTACTTACTTTTTTATCTGTGCTAAAGACTAAACTGTATTGGGTGGAAGCTGTGTGGAAAATATTTTGCAGTTATGAGTATCTATGGAGATGAGCAGTGACAATCTGTTTCTGTATTATTTCCATGTTGTGATTATCTCCTTGCAACCTAGACTACATTATGTGCCAGCACATCCATTATGGCCAAAAGAGACCAAGCAAGTGTTGGCAGGAAAAGGCAGTCCAGTTATGGGGTCCTCAGAATCTATTATGTATGCAGTACACTTTCCAAAACATAGATATTTATATGGTGTCACCTGATTTCTACAACCATTCTAGTGAAGAACTCTGCTTAGAGGCTGATGACATGATATAGCAACATGTAGGCAGAAGGTGCTGAAAAAAACCTTAAATGATAGTATTTTTCTTGCTAAAGCTTCCAGAGCTGTATTTTTAATGCTACGGTAAATTGCTCCTGAAAGTACTGGAAAATAAAAATGTGCATAGAATTGATATACACAAAAAGGTTTGTACAATATTTACAGATAAATATGTAAGAGTTACAGGAGTTTAAATTGTAATTATATATGTGTGTGGGAACAACAGTATATGTAGATATCATGTGCAGACTCTGTTTCCTGCTTTGCTGTGCTACGCAAAAGCTGTACCTTACTACCTCTCTATCAATTAAATCTTCAAGTTTTTACTGAATAAAAACAATGCATTATCTATGTTGTCAGAGGATGCATCTAATGGAACTATGCAGCAGCTGCCTAATGCTTTGGCTAACACAGTTAATATTATATATATAACATGTATAATATATATCTATATCTA